AGCTCAGGATGCTTATCTGTTCTTAAGGTGAAAAGCACATGTCTGTGTTTTAGATGGATTAGGGATCAGCTGTTTTCCCTGTAATAGGCAGTAAGAGCACATAAAGCTTTGGAGAGCTTCTGTGCAACCATCTCAAAGCTCCCTGCTTGAGCAGTGATGGCACAATCATCAGCATAGATGAAACTCTCTGTCCCTTCTGGCAGTGGCTGGTCATTTGTGTAGATGTTGAACATGGATGGAGCAAGCACGCTCCCCTGAGGCAGGCCGTTCTTCTGTTTTCACTATGCTTTTGTGGCCTTGGAACTCAACAAAAATGCTCCTGTTTTGTAGCACTCCAGAAGTGACTCATACATGATAAAGAGAATGTTCCTTCCACCTTTTCCTGGTGGTCTTTCACCCCAGAAAGGGTTCCCTTGGAGTTTGGCTTTTTTTGCATTACTTCTGTTTCTCCTTCCCCTGTTGTACTGTTCATCCCTTTTCCCACCCCTTTCCTCATCCAACCCCATTCTATTTTACTTTATTTGCATGGATGGGATTGGAGGTCTGATATCGAAGGCTTCCTCTTTCTCCAAGCAGGAAAAGGACAGAGAGTGCAATGCCATGTTGATGACCTCTGAGACAGAGGACCTTCAGGCCCAGGCTGGAATCACCATGATCAACAGGGTCTTTTCTTTCCAAGTGTTTCCCATCAGTCTATGGAGCAATGATATGAAATGCATTGCGTGTCTGGAGACCAGGGAAGGGTATGTGTCAATGGTTTCTGCTATTCCCAATTGGGTCAACGAAACTTGGCGGCTTAGCATTTTCCAGGAATGTAAATAGGTCTATTTTCCATTGTCCCAGTTCTGTTGTGATCATGTTGAAAACTGTTGTGATCATGTCGAAAACCTCTGAGTGAAAGTTCCCTACTCTCTGGTCAATGTTGAATTGGCTTAATTATAGAATCATGGAATTTTAGAGTTGGAAGAGACCACATGGACCATCCAGTCCAACCCCCTACCATGCTGGAAAAAAACCACAAACAACATCAGTCTCCTTTCCTCCATGGATCCTCTTCCTCCAGAGATAGCATCTTCTCCTCTGCCCAACCCAGCAGCATTTGCATCTTCTCTATCAGGGAATGTGACTTGCTCCAATATGGGTGTTTCTGGTGATATTGATCTGATACTAGATGCCATGGTGCAGCCTCCTCCCTATCACCTGTCTCCCAAATGCCCACTAGAAAATGATGAGAAAACCATAGAATAGAGAGAAAAGCCTCCCCTGAAGATCTCCTCACCTGGGCAGACTCATTGGAGAAGCTACAGTCCTTCTGATAGCCTGGACCTGGGCAATAAGTGGGTCTATAAGTCACAAAAAGCACAGAAATTGGTGGCTTTTTCATAGAATCATAGAATCAAAGAGTTGGAAGAGACCTCTCAGGCCATCCAGTCCAACCCCCTGCCAAGAAGCAGGAATATTGCATTCAAAGCACCCCTGACAGATGGCCATCCAGCCTCTGTTTAAAAGCTTCCAAAGAAGGAGCCTCCACCACACTCCGGGGCAGAGAGTTCCACTGCTGAACAGCTCTCTCTCACAGTCAGGAAGTTCTTCCTCATGTTCAGATGGAATCTCCTTTCTTGTAGTTTGAAGCCATTGTTCGCGTCCTAGTCTCCAGGGAAGCAGAAACAAGCTTGCTCCCTCCTCCCTGTGGTTTCCTCTCACATATTTATACATGGCTATCATATCTCCTCTCAGCCTTCTCTTCTTCAGGCTAAACATGCCCAGCTCCTTAAGCCGCTCCTCATAGGGCTTGTTCTCCAGACCCTGGATCATTTCAGTCGCTCTCCTCTGGACACATTCCAGCTTGTCAATATCTCTCTTGAATTGTGGTGCCCAGAATTGGACACAATATTCCAGGTGTGGTCTAACCAAAGTGGAATAGAGCATGGGGAGCATGACTTCCCTAGATCTAGACACTAGGCTCCTCTTGATGCAGGCCAAAATCCCATTGGCTTTTTTTGCCGCCACATCACATTCCTGGGTCATGTTTAACTTGTTGTCCACGAGGACTCCAAGATCTTTTTCACACGTACTGCTCTCGAGCCAGGCATTGTCCCCCATTCTGTATCTTTGCATTTCGTTTTTCCTGCCAAAGTGGAGTATCTTGCATTTGTCACTGTTGAACTTCATTTTGTTAGTTTTGGCCCATCTCTCTAATCTGTCAAGATCGTTTTGAATCCTGCTCCTGTCCTCTGGAGTAGTGGCTCTCCCTCCCAATTCTGCAAACTGAAGATCTCCTCACCTGGGCAGACTCATTGGAGAACCTACAGTCCTTCAGATAGCCTGTATCTGGGCAATAAGTGGGTCTATAAGTCACAAAAAGCACAGAAATTGGTGACTTTTTCCATAGAGAAGAGCTCCAGCTCCTCTCCCAGGGGGTCTTTTCGCATCCCACCCATCAATTTAGGCAACAAAGGAGAAAATCTTGAAGGTCTGATAGGTGTGTGGGAGTATCTTTCTGGACTAGCACAGGCTCCATCGATCCTTGCTTTGGAGTACCTTGGAAATTACATCCAGCTATGTTGTGCTTTATTCATACTTTCCTTTCTTGATGGGTCTTTCAATCACTCACACGTTTCCTATAAATTCTAGCTATTGCCAAAATCTCTTCCGAGCAGCTCTTGTTCCAAAGTGTTTACATTCTAGGAAGCTGCAAGGAAACTTGGGCAAGGCCATTGCAATAGGATTCCTGGAGATCAACTGACACAGAGTTCCAAATCTTGTGCCAAGAGGAATCTTCTCCCATTGGCAAATCCATCTTGGGCAACTGTGGCCCAATTGCCAGCCAGACCCTCCCTCTCCTTCAGGTTTATAAGATCCCTGTCTGGATCAAGGGAGATGCATACTTTCCAAAAGGGCACCATGCAGTCCAGACTTGTCCTCCTCGCCCTCCTCGTCTTCTGGGCCGGTTGTTCTTCTGCTTCTGATGGGTATGGAAGCAAAAAAGGTGAGTATGGAAGCTCAGGCAAATCCAGGGAGGGAAGGAGCCCTTCTGGCTGACAAGTTGGGCTTAGCTGCAGAAATGGATGTAGCCAAGGGGTCCTGACAGGAGGCTTGCTCCACTGCTTCTTCTATCCTTCACCTCTACCTTTGCTTCTTTGCACAATACCTTCTGGGGATGAATTTCATGCTGTGGCGGTCAATGGATGTGAGTGCTTTTCTTCAGGGAAAACTAAAGATTGAGATGCAAGGAGGAAAATGAGGCTGTCAGGACATTCTACCAGCCTCTGGAGTTCTATCTATCTATCTCTATCTCTATCTATCTATCTATCTATCTATCTATCTATCTATCTATCTATCTATCTATCTAGATCTAGGGTCTAGATCCAGGAAAGTCCTGCTACTCTTCTATTCTGTCTTGGTCAGACTACACCTGGAATACTTGCATCCAATTGTAGGGACCACAATGGAAGGGAGAWGTTGACAAGCTGGAATGTATCTATCCAGAGGAAGAGGGCAACTCAAAGGATCAAGGGTCTAYAGAACAAGCTCTATGAGGAGCAGCTTAAAGAACTGGACATGTTTAGCCTGCAGAAGAGAAGGCTGAGAGGAGACATGATGAGGGCCATGTATAAATATGGGGGGGGGGAGGTCCTAGGGAGGAGACTAGGATGCAGTTACAGGAGATTCCATGTGAACATGAGAAAGAACTTCCAAACTGTGAGAGCTGTTCAGCAGTGGAACTCTCTCTCTGTGGTGGAGGCTCCTTCTCTGGAGGCTTTGAAGTAGATGCTGGATGGCCATCTGTTGGGGGTGTTTTGAATGCAATTTTCCTGCTTCTTGGCACGGGGTTGGACTGGATGGCCCACAAAGTCTCCTCCAACTCTAGGATTCTTTGATTCTATCTATCTTCTGCACTTCTGCTCCAAGTGACCTAGGACACTCAGTCTGTCTTTTCCTCCATGCTGTTCAACATCTGTATGAAACTGCTGGGAGAGGTCACCTGAAGTTTTGGGTTGTGGTGCCATGTATATGCAGATGACACCCAGATCTGCAAAATCCAAGGAAGCTGCCCTGGTCCTAAACCATTGCATGTCATCTGTAATGAACTGGAAGAGGGCAAACAAATTGAAGCCTAATCCAGACAAGACAGAGGTGCTCCTGGTCTTATTGGTTTTAAATATGTTTTCCCCCCCAATATTTTCATTGTTTAATTGTATTTACATGTTTATATGTGTTGGGTTTTAAATCTGTATCTAGTATGATATTTAGCGTTGGCTGCCTTGAGTCTGTTTGAAGGAGAAAAAGTGGAATATAAATACTACTACTATTACTACCATTAACAATCCTGGCTGATCTCCCTTGAGTGCTGAAGGTGATTTTGTCCTTCTTGGTCCTGTGTATCACAGTAGAATGACCTATTGTATGCAATTTTGCTTAATATTAAAAATCCAGGTACTATTGCAACTTTTTTGGGGGGTGCTGACACCTCTCTATTTGTCCTAATGGGAAGCAGCTGTGAAATTCCTCCTCCAGAACTCTGAAAAGGACCTTCTGCTTGATTCTGATTCTGACATGTCTCCATTTGCTTTTCCAGTGAAACCAGGTGTGTGTCCAAAAAGAGCTCCTCCAGGACACACCAATCCTTGCAAAAATCCTCCATGTAAAACTGATGCTTGTTGTCCTGGCAAGATGAAGTGCTGTCAAATTTCATGTGGGAAGACCTGTTTGATGCCCATGTCTGGTAAGGAAACCTTGAACCTGGTGTTCTTGACAGGAAACTGGAACCATTCTGCCCCAAAACACCCCTTTCCCCCAAAAGCTGAGCGACTTTTCCCTCTTGAGCCTCTGCCTTGTCACCTTTTCATCTTCTTGGACAGGCTTTATGAGACTCTAGATTAGTGCCTGTTCTAGCTGCATTCCATGACTTGCCTACCAACTCCCAAAATAACGAGACCACACACCAGTATTTGGGTTTAAATATGGGCAACTTTCATTAAATGTTACCTATTGGATTGAAATCTAGGGATCCTGAACTTGGTGGCAAAGCCGAGGTAGCATCCCTGCCTGGCCTACCCCTTGACTAGATAGGGCGAAACACCCGGGTCCCCAGGGAACCTAATCCAGGCAATCTCAAAGCGAAATGTGTTGGAGAAGTCCCTCTCGGGGTATTTGAAACCTGACTCATCCCATTAGAATTCCCCTCACCTCATCAAATTGCACCTTAGGTGAGTGTTTTAGTTAATGTCCTTCACCCCTGAAGGGGGTGCATTGGACATACACCAAATTTTAGCTTTTTCTTAACTGTTTACCATGATCACCTATTTAATGCCACACCATCCCAATTTGCCCTGCAACAGTATAGGGTAGGCGAAAACCCCTCCTAGGGTATAGGAGGGGGAAAAAAATCCTACCTGGCCCCTTAACGGCAACCGTAATATACTGTTTAATGGGCAGGAGTGGTGGGTCGACGCTTGGCTCCTGAATGAAGAGGGGGCAGGACAGTATAGAGGACCTGGCTCCGCCCCCTTCAAAGTAGTTCCGACAGAACTCATTGTTCTCTCTTCGGGGGAGGAGGCAAACATCTCTCCCACCCTAGCTGCACCGAGGTGGGAAAGTTTCTTATTTCTTGTCTTTTTTCCCAAAGTGACTCTCGTCCCTGAAAGTACCCAAACATCTGTAATGTCATTCTACAGCTTTGCAAGAAATGGGTTGGCTATTGACTGATGTAGAGTCACCTTTCCTGTGTTCTGGATTCAATAATATTGCCATTTTGAGGAAAATGTTAGTCTATATGAGAGACTAGTCACTTTGGATCAGTGTGATCGAAAGTGACTTGTAATATTCGGTGGTCCATTTCATGTAATCCCCCGAAAACAGAACATGGAGAAGGGAACTGAAAAGCTGGGCAAAACAGATCAAGAGAGCCAGATTTATCCCTCCCCAGCAGCAGAAAACTGTCACGTTGCCAGGGCTCTGCCGTAGTCAGGTAGAGATGAACCAAACAAACTCCCAGTTTGTGCCAAACAATTTAATTAAAACAGCACTTACTGTCTGGCTGTTTTAATAGTCCAAAATATAAAACATAGAGATTGCACTCAGCCACAGAATATAAAACAAAACTGACAGCAAACACTGTTGCAGGTTCAAGATCCAGTCCAGTGGTCAAACGCTGAGAGTTCAATGAGCAAAGTCCAGGGATCAAGAGTCTATAGCCTAGTCAAAAGCCAGTCCAAAGATTCAAAGTTCCAAGAGTACAGGAGACAGGTCAGGATACTGAAAATCCACAAACCTGGGGGGAAACCAGCAGCATCTACCACCAAAATAAAACAAATACTTTTTTCCCAAAGATCAGTTGCAAGGCTAGTTCCTTATATCCAGAAACACCCAGCTGCACCCTATCTCTTGCATGCCTCCACCCTTAATTGCTTTCACCCATGAACTCTTACTTACACATTACTCAACCCTTTAGAACTAAGACCCACATTAACCCTTCCATCACCAACTTCTAGGCCTGCCACCACCTACTATCATCAAATGCAGAACATGATACATGACACTCTGAAGAGGACTCAGGGTGGACCATAATGCACACATACACCGCAAACATTCCCAGAAGCACTTGCATGGGGTGGGCATTGAAGAGTCTCTGAGGAACATGATGGGAGAGGAAGTTCTCTCTCTCTCTCTCTCTCTCTCTCTCTCTCTCTCTCTATCTGTTTCTCAGTCAATAAAAGGCCTGGTTATATCCATGCTCTGATTGGCTGAGAATGGACACAGCCAGCAACTTCAATTCCCAGAACTCTGTCTTGCGGTTTGTCTTATTTGTAAAAATATTATGGTAAAAACTTAAAATAATTCCAAAAGAATCAGTGAATTGGTGAATTGTTTTGAAACTTGGCAGGCCTAAAGTTGTAAATGGGATCTAAAACAGGTAGGTTTCATGCAGATAGGCCTTAAAATGACCGAGGAGTGAGCCTTTAAAGTTTCCCATTGTAGCCAGTGGGCCCAATCTTTGCCGAAAGAAAACGGCAACACTCCTCCTGACTGGAATAACATCCCAGTGAAGAGAATGAGGGGTTAGTTGAAAATGGACCCCAAAATGGCATGCCTTTTGGCCAGCTTGCACAAGCCTATCAGAGAAATGAAGTGTGTTTGTTTTACAAAAGTTATCAGCAAACAATGTGTAAACACCAGCAGTGAAATTGCCACAGATCAAAATCACCAAAGGAAAATCTGGGTAAATGTGCTCACAATGTGGGTTTTTTTGTTGTTGTGTCAGGAGCAACTTGAGAAACTGCAAATCACTTCTGGTGTGAGAGAATTGGCCATCTGCAAGGACGTTGCCCAGGGGACGCTCGGATGATTTGATGTTTTTTTTTATCATCCTTGTGGGAGGCTTCTCTCATGTCCCCGCATGAGGAGCTGGAGCTGATAGAGGGAGCTCATCCACCTCTCCCCGGATTCGAACCTGCGACCTGTCGGTCTTCAGTCCTGCCGGCACAGGGGTTTAACCCACTGTGCCACCGGAGGCTCATCATCATCATCATCATCATCATCATCATCATCATCATCACTGTTAAATCTCCTTTATTGGAATACTCCAAAAGTGGAAACATTTCCCTTCCAGCTAGTCACACATCCAACTTGTAGTTGTTGTTCATTCGTTCAGTCGTTTACAACTCCTTGTGACTTCATGGACCAGCCCACACCAGAGCTCCCTGTCAGCCTGTCACCACCCCCAGCTCCTTCAAAGTCAAGCCAGTCACTTCAAGGATACCATCCATCCATCTTGCCCTTGCTCAGCCCCTCTTCCTTTTTCCTTCCATTTTCCCCAGCATCATTGTCTTCTCTAAGCTTTCCTTTCTTCTTGTGATGTGGCCAAAGTACACATCCAACTCCAGTTGAGTTTTTCCTCAAGGAACCCTAATGGGGGAAATGGAAGAAGTAGGGCTACCAAAGGGGTTTTGTACAGGGGCCCACATTAGATCCTTGTAAAAAGCAGACATCTTGGATGCTTCCTTGCTGATCTGCCACTCGGCCCAAGTATTTCCAAGGGATTGGAGACCAAGGGGTTTGGAAAGGATGTCTTCATCTCTCCTCCTTTGAGAAAGGGGACATCTGCAAATGCATGTTTTCAGAGTACAGCAGGTATCGTTTCCCAACATCCCCGTCTCCAGAGACTCGGGAGCACTTCCATCTAAAATTAGGGAAAAAATTCCTAATAGTCTGCTGCTGCCTGGGAGTTCAGTGGAATCTCCCTCTTTGGAGACTGCATGGCCATCTATCGGGAGGGCTTGTATGGTGTGTTTCTGCCTGGAAAAAGTGGGTTGGACTGGATGGCCTTTAAGAATCACTTTCAATTCTAGTGAGATATACATTACCTGAGAGTCTCCTTCTCTGGAAGACTTTAAACAGAGGCTGGGTGGCTGTCTCTTTGTCATGTGTTAGCATGAGTAGCATGCAGATTGACTCTAGCCCAGTTAACTGTGTGTGTGATGAATTGGCTCATAAAAGAAAAACACACGAGACTTCGGCTTAAAGTAGAAAAGAAAAATATTGTAGTATTGGCAGCATACAAAACAAAATAGCAGGATTGCTGTTTCCACAAAAGTAACATGAAACAATATCTTCTGAGAGATATCATTACTCAGCTGTGATAAGCAGGAATCCTTGTCCTCTTCTCATGGCTGTGTCTTCGCAGGACGTCTGCAGCATACTCCCCGGCACAGCATAACACGCAATGCTTACACAAGGCAAAATGGCACAAAGGCAAAAATGCGCAGAGGCATAGACGCACAATTTATTTATTTCTCGTGTCAGGGCAGCCAGTCAATTATATTACATTTCTAACAGAACAAAGCAAACAAACAGAGAAAATACAAAACTTGTGAGTTTGGTAGTTGATTAAATGTCCTTTGACCAGTATCTGGCCACTTGGAGTGCCTCTGGTGTTGCTGCAAGAAGGTCCTCCATTGTGCATGTGGCAGGGCTCAGGTTGCATTGCAGCAGGTGGTCAGTGGTTTGCTCTTCTCCACACTCGCATGTCGTGGATTCCACTTTGTGGCCCCATCTCTGAAGGTTGGCTCTGCATCTCGTGGTGCCAGAGCGCAGTCTGTTCAGCGCCTTCCAAGTCGCCCCGTCTTCTGTGTGCCCAGGGGGGAGTCTCATCTGGTATCAGCCCTAATAGTAGGGTTGGGCGGTTTCGTTCGTTAATTTCGTAATTCGTTATTAATTCGTATTTAAATTAGCTTACGATCCAATATTGAGCCATGCAGGAATAGTGTGAGGAGTAAATTAGATTCGAAACAATTTTTTCAATTTATTTCGTAATTATTTCGTTATTATTTCGTAATTATTTCGAATTATTATTTCGTAATTATTTTCGCATGTCTGGTGCAAGTTTTATAGTTGTTTGTTTTATCACACCAACAGTCAACAACAGAGGGAGAGGGAAGCTTCAGAAGTTCCCCCTGTCCCATTTGGAGGTTTTTTTAGCATATTGCGCAATCGCGTCCGCCATTAACGAATCGATTCGTAATTTTACGAAATTTCATAAATTTTGAAATTATTAAAAGCAAAATTTCAGAATTCTTAAAAAAAACGAAGCGAGTTTAGAAACAAATTTTTCCATTGTTACCCAGGCCTAGTTGAGGTTCTGGGTTTGAGCCTGCCACGTTTGGTCTCTTGCTCGCTGAGGTGTTCCAGCGAGTGTCTCTGTAGATCTTAGAAAACTATGTCTGGATTTAATGGCATTAGCACACAATGCCAAATGGCATTAGCACAATGGCATTAGCACACAATGGCAAAGAAACTAAACCCGCAGTAGCTATCTTTATACACAAGATAGTAATGCTCTCAATTAACTCTCCAATTAACTGAGACAGCTGTAGCACAAACAGCCTTGATCCTTACCACAACATAGATAAAGTCCGTTGCAACCTCTTAGTAGCAACACTCTTAAGGTGGACTGGACGGCTTCTGGGGTCCCTTTCACCTCTAAGATTATATAATTCTCTGACCCTTTTCCAGATCTCCTTTAGCTTTTGCAGTGAAACCTTTCAAGGGCTTGGGTGGCCATTGTTATAACAGGAAGGTATACGGGCAATGCTGAACATCCAATTGCAGCCTTCTATGATACTGGCAGAGGGTTGTTGTTTCATCACGAGTGATGATGAGGCATCGGTTGGGGAAGTCATATTAATTTTATCATGGGTGGTGGAGTTTGAAAAGCAGCAGGATATCACCTTGCAAACATCAATCTAGCTGATAAGGCTGATTTTAATAAAAAGGTCTTGTCTTGCTTAGGGATTATGGAGAGATTGGCGCCCAAACCAACGGCTGCCAGGCCAACAAGAAAGACTCTTGTAACGGTGACAGCGCCGGCAGCTGGGTCTCCCACAACAAGCAAGGCTCCCAAACTGGAGATGGAGGTGGCAGTGCCGACAGGGGTGCCTCCTGCAGCAAGCCTGGATAGCAACCCGGCAATGGTGGCCATGCCTGAAGGTGAGTAGTATCATCAAGGTAGTCATTATCCGTCAGGGCCAGGTATGCACCAAGGAACCCAAGAGATGCAGACAGCAGCAGCAGAACAGGTTGGTAGTAGCTCATTGAGTCCCGGATTTCAGTGGGTAGCTCGGGGGCCTCACAGAAGCTGTGAGAATCAGGTAAGCCAAAATATCATGGGTACAAATGTTGTGGGAAAGGACCATTCTGCCCAGAGAGGGGTGGTGCAGTAGGTGAATCAGGATAAGAGCAACCACATGGGGCAACATTTGCCCATGTGCCCGTACTAGTACTCCATACTAGAGTGCTCTCACCACCTTGGAGGCCCCAAAGACAACCGGAATCAGTTCTTCCTGGCCTTGGGGTGATATTTCTGGGGCTGGAGCTAGCACCTTCTTGACCAATCCATTCGAGGCTGTGAACACTGGTGGAGTGTGGGGAAAATAGACCTTGATATTTGGGAATTGTAGTTGTTAAGATTTATAGTTCACCTACAATCAAAGAGCATTCCGAACTTCACCAACAATGAAATTGAACCAAACTTGGCACACAGAACTCCCATGACAGACAGAAAATAGTGGGAGGGTTTGATGGGCATTGACCTTGAGTTTGGGAGTTGTAATTCACCTACATCCAGAGAACACTGTGGACTCAAACAATGATGTATCTGGACCAAACTTGGCATAAATACCCAATATGCCCAAATGTGGACATTAGTGGAGTTTAGGGAAAATAGATTTGACATTTGGAAGTTGTAGTTGCTGGGATTTATAGTTCACCTACAATCAAAGAGCATTCCAAACTTCACTAACAATGAAATTGAACCAAACTTGGCACACAGAACTACCATGACTGACAGAAAATAGTGGAAGGGTTTGGTAGGCATTGACCTTGAGTTTTGGAGTTGTAGCTCACCTACATCCAGAGAACACTGTGGACTCAAACAATGATGTATCTGGACCAAACTTGGCACAAATACCCAATATGCCCAAATGTGGACATTGGTAGAGTTTGGGGAAAATAGACTTGACATTTGGAAGTTGTAGTTGCTGGGATTTATAGTTCACCTATAATCAAAGAGAATTCTGAACCCCGTGGGCTCAGAAAGGCGGTATAAAAATAGTAAATAATAAATAATAAATAATCCCACCAACAATAGAAATGGGCCAAACTTTCCACAGGGAATCTCCATGACCAACAGAAAATACTGTGTTTTCTGATGGTCTTTGGTGACCCCTATGACATCCCCCCCCCCCAGGTTGAGAAATGCTGATGTAAAAATTAGGGAAAATTCCTGGTAGTCAGGGCTGTTTGACCATGCAATCAACTGCTGCCTGGGAGTCAGTAGAATCTCCCTCTCCGGAGGCTAGATGGCCATCGCTCGGGAGGGCTTAGATAGTGTGTTCCTGCCTGGGAGAAGAGGGTTGGATGGGATGGCCTTCAAGGATCCCTTCCCAATCTAGTGGGATATACACTACAAGAGTCTCCTTCTCTGGATGTCTTTAAACAGAGGGTGGATGGCTGCCTATTAGGGTGGACTGGATGGCTTCTTGGATTCTATAATTCTCTGACTCTTGTCCATGTCTCCTTATCTCCTCCAGTGAAATTTGGTGTGTGCCCCACAAAACCTCCAGCAGACACGAACCCCTGTCACTTACCATGCAATACAATTGTTTGGTTGCTCCTGACACGATAAATAAATACTTACCATGTAAAGTGGACAGTGAATGTCCCGGCAACAAGAATTGCTGCAAAATTCACTGTGGGTACACCTGCCTGGCCCCATGCCATACTAAGACCTCTGATCCTCAACCAGGTCAAAAGACTGTACTTGGCACAGGGTCTGGGGTATGGGACCCTCCACAATGTCACATTTCCCCAGAAATGTTGGGTGGCATTTCCCCTCCTGAACTGCTGCCCAGTTTCCCTCTCATCTTCTTGACCAGGCTTTTGGGGTCTCTAGATACATAAACTTTTGCACGTTCTGATCAATTCCTGCCCTGGATTCCACAAGTTGTTTCTCTTTTATTTATTGTTTTAAGTAAGTCTTTAGCCTTCCTGAATGTCACTCTATGTGCCAAAATAGGCAACAATTATGCTGCTTTGCAAGAAATAAGCCTGCAATTGAATATTGCAGAGTGATTTCCTCTTCCTGCTTCTGACTCTCTCTTCTTTTCACAGACTGAATTTGAAGGAGGCCTGGATCCATGGGCAGCACCCCTCCACCACCAAGACTTCTGCACATCTCTCCTTTCCCCAGAAAGTTCAAATCCCACTCTGCACCATCCCCACTTATTCCACTGATGGTCCCAATTCTGCTTTGATAATAAATGCAACAATGCCCTGCACTGCATGTGTCTAGACCTTCTTTATTTTTTGACAAGGGGAGGTGCCTTCTTTCCCTGAGGGTCTCCAAGGTCTCCTTCATCTCCTGGAAGAAAACCCAAATGAAGTCTCCTTGCCATTGGCCTAGAAAGCCACCCATGCCTTTGGGAAAGAAATCCCTCATTGCTCATAACAATAAGTCGATAAGGCTGAGAAAGGCGGTATACAGGTATAGTAAATAAACAAACAACAACAACAACTATTGTATTTCTTACCGGTCTCTACTCATGGTTCTAGGCGGGTCATAGAATAAATAAAACACATAAACATTGCAAAAACACTACAGATACACATGTTAAAATGTATTCCTACAAAAGCTACATATTCAAAGGTATTTCTATAAAATACATATTAAAATACACAAAATTGAGATTAAACAAAAGGCACACATTTAAAATTCATGCTTAGAGACTGTCTGGGTAGCCCTGCTGGAAGAGGTAGGTCTTTATATGGTTTTGAAATTCCGATAGCTCATTTAGCTGTTGGAGTTCTATTGCCAGGTCGTTCCACAGCGGGTTTTTTTTTGGGGGGGGGGCAGATGATGAAAAGGTCCTCTTAGTGCTGTCTGTAATCAGGTTTTGGCTAGCTGGAGCAACTACCCCTCAGAAGACCTCAGAGTTCAGGATGGATTGTACGGGAGAAGGCAATCCTGTAGGTAATCTGGATCCAACCATGTAGGGTGTAATGGATTGGCCTACCTTAATGGGTTGTTGTAAAAGGTAAAAACAGGCCCAGCTTGCAAAAGCTAAGGAGAAAGGTGAGTGGAGTAAACAGGCAGCCTCACAGCCAGCAGTGCAGTCTGATTAGATAATGAAATTGGAGAGAAAAGCTCAGTGGCTGGAGAGGGGCGGAGCCAGAGGCAAAGAGGAGAAGCCGAGGCAGCCATTTTAAGATCAGTTAGGAGTTTGGTGTGGAAGAAGAAGAGTTAGGGGTTGTTGCAACTCAGAGTAGGCTTCACCTTGCTTCTAAACACCACCACACAAGAGCTGTAGTTTTACAGTTTATTGGGGAAAAATCCAAGTAAAAATAAAGAATAAGCATTGAAAAGTCCCAAAGATTAAGGTTAAATGCAGCATACAGTTCCAAAGATCTTCAGGTAAACGCAGGAGACATAATCCTATTGGCAAAGTTTAAACCAGAGTCCCAGGTACAAGCAATGAAACATTTGCCCCAAGAATCACAATGCAAGAAATCCCAAGTGTACTGCTTTCCAGCCTAAGGTTATTCCATGAAGCTTTCAGGCTAATAAGCTACGTTGAACTGACGCTTTCACAGAGTTTCCAGGAGGCCTAAATACCTTTCTAACATCAAAACATTAGGCTCTCGGCATCATAAAAGCATTGCGATGTCCTCGCACCGAGCTAGCCTCCCGTCTGCTTGCTAGATGTGAACTCCGCCTGACCCGGAGATCAAGGTGAGCTTCTCGGGACAAATCCTTATCTGCACTTTCGGTATCATCGTGGGAAGGCACCTGCTCACTATTCCCTTCGTTAAAATTCCTTTCTGGTGAAAACAGCTGTGTTGACACTGCACTGTCTTTGAGAGCCTCTGAAGCAGGCTCAGACAACTGAGGCACAGACAAAGAGCCAGGAAGCGGAAACCCAACAGGAATCTGAATCCCATCATCCTCATAGTCAGAAACTAGCTCAGCCAGAACAGGGGTTTGGTGGGGAAGAAGATAGAAGCTTGGAAGGGGGAAGGAGGGAAGAGTTGGGAACTGTTTGTGGTTTGATGATTCCTCTTTGAGGACAACAGTTCATAGGCCTCTATAGTGATTAGAGTACAATGGAAGGAAGGGAGATTTTAGAAGGTTTAAAAGAAGCTGTTTAGATTTCTGAGTATATAACCTTTTTTAGAAACTCAAGATAAAAAGTACTATCCTCTATAAGAAGTAAACCCTGAAAAGTTATTTGAAACCATTACGTATATTTCCTGTTCAAAATAAACAACATTTTCCTGTTTTATTCCAGCTGAAGTTTTCGTGTCGCTCTTTGAGCATTCCAGTGAAGGAGGTGACCTAGTAAAATAATAAATTGGTGGCAGTAAAAAAAATATTAATAAATATTAGTGGATGATCTTCGCCTTAGTGGATGATCTTCGCCGGGAGCTAGACAGGGGGAGTGTGTCCCTGTTGGTTCTGCTGGACCTCTCAGCGGCCTTCGATACCATCGACCACGGTATCCTTCTGAGGCGCCTTGCGGGAATGGGCCTTGGTGGCACTGTTTTACAGTGGCTCGGGTCCTTCCTAGAGGGTCGCACTCAGAAGGTGTTGCTGGGGGACAACTGCTCGTCCTCACAACCATTGTCTTGTGGGGTTCCTCAGGGTTCAATATTGTCCCCCATGTTGTTTAATATCTACATGAAGCCGCTGGGAGAGATCATCCAGAGTTTCAGGGTGCGGTGTTATCTGTACGCAGATGATGTCCAACTCTGTCACTCCTTCCCACCTTCTACTAAGGAGGCTGTTCAGGTCCTGAACCGGTGCTTGGCTGCTGTGTCGGACTGGATGAGGGCTAACAAATTGAAGTTGAATCCAGACAAGACAGAGGCGCTCCTGGTCAGTCGAAAGGCCGAACAGGGTATAGGGTTACAGCCTGTGTTAGACGGGGTAACACTCCCCCTGAAGATGCAGGTTCGCAGCTTGGGTGTGACCCTGGATTCCTCGCTAAGCCTGGAACCCCAGGTCTCGGCGGTATCCAGGGGAGCATTTGCACAATTAAAACTTGTGCGCCAGCTGCGCCCGTACCTTGGGAAGTCTGACTTGGCCACGGTAGTCCACGCTCTGGTTACATCCCGCATAGATTACTGCAACGCGCTCTACGTGGGGCTGCCCTTGAAGACTGCCCGGAAGCTTCAGATGGTCCAGCGCTCGGCAGCCAGGTTGTTAACAGGAGCGGCACTCAGGGAGCATACCACTCCTCTGTTGAGCCAGCTCCACTGGCTGCCAATCTGCTACCGGGCACAATTCAAGGTGCTGGCGTTAGCCTATAAAGCCCTAAACGGTTCTGGCCCTACTTACCTCTCCGAACGCATCTCCACCTATGAACCGACCAGGACATTAAGATCGTCCGGGGAGGCCCTGCTCTCGGTCCCGCCAGCGTCACAGGCACGGTTGGCGGGCACGAGAGACAGGGCCTTCTCGGTGGTGGCCCCTCGGCTATGGAACGCCCTACCGGTAGACATCAGACAGGCCCCTTCGCTGTTGGCCTTTCGGAGGAAGGTTAAAACATGGCTGTATGAACAAGCGTTTGGCTAATCAGCATAACTGAGCACAGGAAGACAGTAACTGAACATAGGAATGGTATAAGGATTGAGAATCGGATTCTGATTGTTATTGAGGCGTTACATGTTAATTGTTGATGTTTGTGGATTCTTTTTGTTGTATAATGTGTTTTAACTGCTGTAGACTGTTGTTATAATTGTATCTGTAAACCGCATTGAGTCGCCTAATTAGGCTGAAAAATGCGGTATAGAAATAAAGCAAATAAATAAATAAATAAATAAATAAATAGTTGGAGACAGCAAGCTGCAAACACAACCTTTCAAGGGGAGTGTAACTCCATCCAAAACAAGTTGACATGCCTCCATCCACTTAAGAGTTAGGATCCTTGATGGCAAGCAGCTCTGTCTTATCTGCATTCGGTTCACTTCAGAGTCCTTCAGTTCAGGGTGCCTTGAATGGAACTTTCCTGTTTCATGGCAGCGGGTTGGGCTGGATGGCCTACGAAGTCTCTTCAAACTAATCGCTGCTATGATTCTATGATTCTTCCAGCCCATGACCTCCTCCAGGCATTCAATCAAAGGTGGCATGCTATCCTTATCTGAGACTGTTTTTCAAGGCATGGAGAAATAGATTTGCATGTCATCAGCATACAGATAGCACCTCACCCCATGCCTATGGATCATCTCTTCCAACTGTTACATGTAAATATTAAATAGAATTGGGGATAGAATGTCCTCTTGTGGGATGTTGCCTTATAACCACTGTTTTTTTTTTCCTTTTGGTACATTCACTTTATTATTTGCATATTGTTGAATACAAAATGAATATCAGATATTTGGAAAATCAAGAGCAACCTAATTCTGTACTTGGTGCAGCATTGTGGTTCAGAATTTAAAATACCCACAGTCAGATTAAGCAAAATGATGTTTCTGAAAGGTCATATAAAAAGAATTAGAACAGTCAACTGGCATAAAGAAATCCTGTTTTGCAGAATTATAGCATCAGAGTCCTTCCTGCCTTAAACAGGCAATAGTAAGACTGTCCTGAAGAAGGCATCACTTGATTCCTCAATATTGAATAACTACCTGCCCATTTCAAAACTTCCTTTTTTGGGCAAGGTTCTGGAGCAAGTGGTTGCGTCTCAGCTCCAAGGATTCTTGGATTATACAGATGTGAGGAAGCGTAAGATTACTGCCACCAACTTGTAAATGTTTGTAAAGGAGCCACCACTTTGTGGGGGTTTATTTAATTGATAGCTAATAATATTGATTTGGTCTTTCTTCGGTGTAGCGTGACTTAACTTGGAAAGGAAATGTAACAGGGACAAGCCTTTAGGAAAACAGTAACAAGTTTATTGAAATGTAGAAGAAGCGTGATGGATTCAATGATTCCCACTCTTAGAGGCACATATCTTCAAAGGTTACATTTATAACTTTTCTTAAACAACTCTGGAAAGGACTCTTCCTTCCACTAAACAGGCCTCAAACTGTGTTTCTTTATTTAATAGATTACTTCAGTTATAAGCTTATTCTTTCTTTAGGATGTTTCTGTTACAATAGTGACTCTCAACACTAACTATTAATATAAATAAACCAACTCGACTTATTTAAACTACTCAAGCTAAAAGCCTAAACCTCGCTAATTCTTACTAAGTAGAATCAGTCCTTTACCTGTAGTTTTTAAACTACAGATCCCTTCTGGTTCTCCCTACTCAACAGAACAGCCTCTCCTACAGTTCAC